TAGAGGGAAGGGGCGTTCCCAAAGAAGCCACTGTGGAAAGTGAGTTGTAATAAAAATAAGTTGTAATAGTCTCCAGCTGGCATGGACCTCCAGCTGCCACTGACCCAGTTAACAGTAACACTTCCCTGCAGGAAACTTGCACTCCATTTTTGACGAGTTATGTCAGGGAAACCAGACCACGGCATGGCACGCAGTGCTCTGGCAGCCATCAGGATCTGGCCATGCACAGGGTGCAGGAAGGGTCTGTGCGGGTCATCTCAGTCCAGTGGAAACCACAACGTTGCTACAGATGAGTGCACGGTGGTTCCCATTCCACTGGGATGAGCACATCCCTGTCTGGTGGAGGGATTTGTAATGGTCTTGCTATGGCCTGATGGCACCAAGGAGTACGGAACTTGCATATCCAGAACTGAGGCATCAAAACACAAAGCCCAGAAGGAAGGACCTTGTGCTTCCCCCTCCAATATGGCCACCATTTTGTATTTGGAAGGGTGTCTCTCAGAGCTTTGTCTCTAAAGCCTATACTATAAATCCAAGAGGTGAAGGAAGGAAGGACAAGGATTTGCCCTTTTTTTTTTCAGTTGCCATATAGTTTTCAAGCCATTTTTCAAACCCTTGACCATGTTTCATAGATACTGTGGACTCTCTCAGCCTACAAGAAGTACCACCTTCTGCACATGGGGCGAACAGGTTTTTAGGGAAAGGGTTGAAGTGGGGAGCAGTGGACACCAGACTGAATGTAAGCAAACCACAGAAAAGATAAACTGCTACAGTAGGAGGATTGTGGCCACATTCAAGGGAAAGTATTCAATCAGCAGTGGTGAGGTCACCCTGCTGGGCTGTTGTTAGTCAGGTGAAGAGGAGGGTGAGGTGGGATACAATCACTGGAAAGAGAAGAGGCTTCAGAATTCATGCAAACACTGTGGCATTGCACAGGAAGTTTATCTGGTGGTCAGCAGCACAGCTTGATTGTTTTGGGACAGGCCAACCCAACAGAGGTGAAATCACAGGTTGCCAGTGAAACAGCCTTGGTTGTTTGGGCATCGTTAAGCCAGCAGTGACTGCAGAAGTATGGATGCTCTGAGCTCTCCTGACTCCCTCAGTGAGCGTGGGTTACAGACTGGGATTCAGGCGAGTGGCAGCAGAGGTGTGCTCAGTACCTAGCACTGCTGCTGACCTCCCACCAACCGCTTTTGTCACGATCTCCTGTAGAGTGATGGGTAGGTGCTAGTTACCTGATACCCTCCAGAGCCACTGAGACAAAGTCCCAGCCCAGGGTTAGGAAGACACAGAGAGGAAGCCTGGTCTCTAGGGGGTGCAGGAGCAGCACACGACAGAGTGGGAAGATTGGTGCCACTGAGTACTGGTGGAGTACCAGTTTTGCACTGGTTTGGTCCAAAGCTCAATTGGAGCAAATCCACTGATGTGCAAAGACACCGGTAGAGCACTGTTTTAAAATAAAATCTTCCTATTTCAAGGCACATAGCAATGGGGATCCACAGGAATGGTGGGTTCCCCTGAATCAACCTGCTGGGGTTTTGGGGGTTTCTCTCCAGTCCAGGTGTGAGCAGGTCTCTGGCAGGATACACAGTGGAGCATACAAAGTGCTCATCAGTATTCATGAGAAAATGAAGCTGAACTGGAGAGAACAAAGAACAACTTTGTCAGTAAGATTGAGCCAGGGATGTTGCTCCCACCCTCTGGTCTAACGTCACTAGCAAATGCCATGGCACTTTCAACGGTGCTGATCTGACTGTGCTGAGCCCAGTCAGTCCCTGATACCGGCTACCCAAGGAAGAGCCTTCCTAAAGCATCCTTGGACGGCCTCAGCCCTTGTGGGCAACATCATACCCCCACACTGCCTGGCAGGGTCTTCTGGAGGTCATGTAGTGCAGCTTCCCATGCAAGTTCTCCCACGTAGCTCGTGACGTTGCTCCAAGATGCTTTTCGCTTGCCAGCAGCTCCCTCCTGAAACGCCTGCGTTTCCTTCACTTCAAACTCCCAGCACCACGGCACTGTTGCTGCTCGCACCTGCTCTTCCTCTTCTCCTCTGCTCTTGGGCAGGGCTGTGTAGTGAGACATAGCATTTTTTCGGTCCCATTACATGTCACCTGTGGTCCCCCCGTCATCCTTGCCCCTTCTCCATACTGCAGCCTGCAGGTGGTAGTGCTGGCCGTACGCTGCTTGACCGATATCAGCTGGGATAACCAACCCAGATTTTGCAACCCTTCACACCTTCCACCTCAGCAAGTCCCTCACTGGTGAAACACTACTGCCTTCGTCTCAGGGGGTGCCGGACTGCTCCCGGCTTGGGAGAGTCGCATTGGTGGCCACACTGGAGCTGCGTTTGCAGGAGAGAGCTGCACCGTTCTGTGATGCCCAGGTGCCGGGGGCGAGATGGCCGTACCTCGCCCTGCAGCTGGACATCCCGCGGTGTGGCTCTGGGGGCACGGGCATCCCGGGGGTCGGCCCCGCCCCTGCTGCTGGAGGAGGAGAGGAGCCCTGACGGCCAGGGGACACGGAGCATGGCTGAGGCGGCACTGCCACCTCGTGGCCTGTCACCGCGTTCTTCGGCCACCACCCGCTCCCACAGACCCCCTGATGGGAAAGGGGAGTGCCAGGGATTGTGCTGGCAGAGGTGTTTTGTAGAAGCCTCCGAGATGGGGGACTTGTTACAAAGGGCAGGATGTAACAGGTTTAAACTGAAAGAGGGAGATTGAGATTGGACATCAGGAAGAAATTCTTCAGTGTGGGGGAGGGATGACACGCTGGGACAGGTTGCCCAGAGAAGCTGTGGATGCCCCATCCCTGGAAGTGTCCAAGGCAGGCTGTATGAGGCTTGGAGCAACCTGGTCTAGTGGAAGGTGTCCCTGCCCATGGCAGTGGGGTTGGAACTGGATGATCTTTATGGTCCACCATATCTTTATTTTTTCCTACCTAAGCAATTCTAGGATTCTATGACTGTATAGCGCCATGCAATGCTCATCCACAGCTCCCTGCAGTCAGCTGTCTTCTGGAGCCATGGATGTCCCAGCTGCAAATCAGGGGTAGGAGAAGGAAATTCCCAGAGGATGGGAGAGAAGGCTTGGCTTGAACACAGCAACACCCAAAGTCAAGCGAGTGGGGCTAAATGTTGCTCTGGAGTCTCAAGTACCTGGAGGAAGGACAAACGCCAGCTTCCAGGAGATGCTGGAAACCTGTAACCAGCCCCCAGTAATCCAGCATTTAAATGAGATTAAGGAGACGGTCAGGGTCTCACTGCCACAGTGAGAGCTTTGGTACTGGTGGCTTTTCTGGGCTCTTTTGTGCCAGATCTGAAGGTGCATCCCTGGGCACCTTCCCTGGGCTCAGTGATGTGAGGCACTGGCTTTTTCATTTTTCAGGTGTGGATGAGGCCACGCACAGCTCCTGGGGTTGCCCAGATCTGGCTAGGTTGGCACTCAAAGGGGACTGGGAGCAACATAGGTGGCAGAGACTACCATTCTCTCTCTCTCTACTACAGAGACAAGGTCCCCAAACCACTGAACTGAGGGCAGTGGGAAGGAGATGTCTCATCGAGGATGTCCAAGGCCCTGCTGAGCCACACAGACACTAACAGACCCTTTGCTGGAGCCCTGCTCCATCAAGGTGCAGTGTCAAGGTTGGTATCTGCAGGGGTCAGCCCCCAGCAGCAGTGATGACAAGGCTGGGTACCAGTGGCAGTCATGCTCTGCCTGCCCAGTCCAGGAGCCATCAAGAATGATCGCGGCCCCCCTGAGCATCCCTTGGATGGCTGTGCCACCTAGTACTCACAGCACCTGTCCCCTCCTGCAGTGACAGATCTGTAGGATGCCTTTGGGCACCCTCCTCTTCTGTGTTGCTTTGTGCCCAGTCAACACCAGTCCCGGCTGTAGTGACTGTGCTGCTGGGGCAGGCTGGGAACCCTGCAGTCCTGCACTTTTGCTGACCAAGCTGTTCCCTGACCATGACCCAGCACAGGTCAAGTGTGCAAGGAGAACAAGTTTCTCTCTCGTGCAGAGAAAGCGAAACTTGGCACTTCTCTTCTCCAACTGGGCAAACCACTGTGCATGCAAGTACACCCCCACACACCCTGCTCCTCTTCCTCCCTGCTCCCAGGGAAGAGCTTCCAGCAAACAGAGCTGCTTCTTAGACTAGTCTGCTGTCACATCCAGCAAGGAGGTAAGTCACAGCAAATAACTGAGGACACATGCCTTCTCTGCCACTGCTCTCCAGTCCTTGCTCCCTGTCCCCCTCCTTTCTTCCCTTCCCCCTCCGTAAGGGTTTGAAGTAGGAAAAGGAGGAGAAGATGATGTGGGTTTGGGGAGGAAGCTGCAGGAATCTGTCCTTGCTCCATGTGGTTGTGGATATCACTGGGCTCTGCAGGTTTGTCCTGGACTGAGTATCCCAGGTTTTGGGGTAGGTCTGTGTGCTTAGGGTCTCTCTCCTCTCTCCCACCTCTGTGTGTTGGAGAGCTGCACCCTTTTAGCCTGTTTATCACTTTCCTATTTATCCCTCTCCTGTTTATTCCTCCTCTGTTGTGTCTCTTTGCACCTCTTCCTCACCTGTGCTCTCCATCCTTTGGGACCATTGCCCCATACACCGTGCTTGCTCCCCCAACACTGGAAGAAACATCCTCTGCATGCATCTGATGTGTGACCACCCATCCCCAGGACATGCACCAAAGGGTTTGCGCTGTGCTCCACATCCTGGGGTTTCCAATCCCACAAGCCCTGCCATGGGCACATGTCAGAGATTTTCAGTAACACCAATAATCTCAAATCAAGCAAAGAAACAGCCTCAAAATCATTCCATTAATTTATATTCACCACTGCGTGTTGTGTCCAGCTATCTGTACTGGACAACACGTGGGTGACGTGGTAGATCCGTGCATGCACCTGATGGGAACACTTGTGTGTCTGTGTCCAAGGTACATAGTTTTGTTTGCCGTGTGCTTGCCTCCATCCCCAGTTCCACCACCTCTGTGCTTGTAGGGAGTCAAGATGCAACCCAGGCTTTGGCTGGCGACCTGCACCCTGACAGCAATGCTGGGCATGGCCTTGCTGGAGAACAGCATGTGTCGGGCACCAGATGGCAAGGACGGCTTCCCAGGAGTCCCTGGCCTTGATGGGAGGCCAGGGCAGAAGGGTGATGTGGGAGAGCCAGGTAAGGGGGAGCTGGGATGCACAGTGCAGGTGTTCCGGGTGACTCAAGCCTCTTGGTAGGAGCATCATAGGCTGTGGGAGCAGCTTGGAAGATGCCAGATGTGCATGAACTGTTCCTCCTCACCATCTCTCCCCAGGAAAATCAACACAGAGGACGGGTATCCGGGGATTCAAAGGGGAAGCAGGCGAACCAGGGCTTCCTGGCAACCCAGGGAACCAGGGCTACCAAGGCCCGCATGGGCCCCCTGGGCTTCCAGGCCAGCCAGGGCCAAAGGGCAACAAGGGGAAAGAAGGCAATATCCTGGAGCAGCCACGTCCTGCCTTCTCTGCCTCACGGAGGTCCCCACCATCCATGGGTGGGACAGTGGTTTTTGACAACATCATCACCAACCAGGAGAGCTCCTACAGCCCCCAGACTGGGCAGTTCACCTGCCACGTCCCCGGGCTCTACTACTTTGCCTACATAGTGATCTCCAGTGGAGACCTCTGCCTGAGCATCATCAAGAACAAAGAGCGTGTGGTCAGATTCTGCGACTACAACAGCCTTGGCATCCTGCAGGTGAACTCAGGCAGCAGTGTGCTCAGCCTGGCAGTGGGCGACCAGGTCTCCGTGAGCACTGACCCTGCCATGGTCAGCAAGATTTACAGCGGCTCCGAGGTAGACAGCGTCTTCAGTGGCTTCATGGTCTTCCCCCAGATGGGCTAACAGGCTACCAGTCCAGACCTGCTTAGCACCAGAGCATTGCAGTGTGCACGTCTGCAAGCGTTTTCACCCTGTGAGCGTGTGGGGTTGTCTTATATTGCAGTAGAGATGGCCTCACACTGACCTGCCAGCTGGATCCTGCGCTTCCATCAATGTCATAGCGTGGCCAGACACTGAGCCTGTCCGTTCCATCCTGGAGGCAGAGGAGTCCTGGCCCCTTTCTCCTCCTGGCCATTCAAACCCCAACCCTGACGGGCCCAGGTGTCACCGGGGCTGTTCACCAGCTGTGGCTCTGCTCCTGAGTGGGAAATCACTGCGTGCCACTGCTTCTGCTACACTAACCATTGCAATAATCTTTCTAGCACCAGGCCACTACTGCCCCTCACATCCTCCCCATCGGTATAAATAAACCCTTCTTCCATGACAGCCATTTGGGTTTCCTTTCCTACTCACGCGTCTTCCCCAAACCATCCATGTCCTGGGTCCATTCCCAAGCTCTGCATGGAGAGAAACGGTCCCAGCTTGCCCTGGCCAAGCACAGATCCCAGCTGCAAAGGCAGAAGGACAAGAGGGAACTGAGTGTACAAGCAGATCTGGCAGTTACAGGGAGGCATGGGAAATCTCTGGGAGTAGCTTCTGTGTGTCCTTTCTCTCATGAGTCCAAGCTGGTTGTCCTGTACAAGGCTAAATACAGGCAACAGATTATGCACCTCACCCACATGGTCTTCTGTTGGTACCCAAACTCTCCCAGGAAGAGGAAAGGCATCTGTGGTCCTCCTGACTTTGAGCAAGGAGGTACAGGGACATCTGTGTGACTGATGGGGTTGTGGATTGGGATGTGGGATTGATGGTGGTGGAGTTGTGAGGCAATGGTCTTCTCTCTTTGGCTTGAGACTAGTGGGCAGTACAGCAGGCTGGGCAGGTATCAGGCAGCCAGAAAGCATGAGGGAAACCATGCAGGTGCCATACCCTGCGACTGCTAATTGGCGGAGCTGCTACATATCTGTTGGGATGTCAAACGTCTCCATTCCTGGAGCAGTGAGGAGGAGAGCAGGTCACCTGTGAGAAGCAAAATCCCAAGCAGGGATGCTGGGGCCCCAGCGAATCCAGTATTCAGCAGAGCTGGTGGAGTACAGGGTAAGATGCAGAGACAACAGACAACCTGCAGGTCAGAAACCCTCAAGGAGAAATGTTCTTCAGTCCCACTGCCTAGGGGTGCAGCATCTCCCCGTACAGACAGGCAATGACTTTGCACAAGCCTTTCATCACACGGACAGTTCTGGCTCCATGGACCTGGCATGAGGTTGGATGCTTCTCATCCACTCACTGCCCTTCTGCTCAGAAATGAGTTAAGGATGAGCGAAAGGCAGGCAATTTTCTGAGGGCTAGTCTGGGCAGTGGTTGGAGGATTTGTGGCGCATCTCTTGGGAGAGGCTCACCCCACCTCTCTCCCTCCAGGCTCTGCTGCTGCAGTGGTAAAAGTACACATCTTGCTGGACATCCAGGAAAGTGCTTGCTCAAAGGAAACAATGAGGCAGGAGGATATGCAACTCGGCTGGGGGCCAACTGGGGGTTCTGGGTCCCCAAGGGCCCTTTCCTAACTCTGTGACTTCCTCTGGGAGGGTGTCACAGAGAGTCACTTAGGCTGTGCTGTGCCAACAGCAGCCTGAGGACTCAGCAGCACAGGATCCCAGGCCCTGCTCCCCCCCCAGAGGTAAGAGGTGCTACAGGGTCTGCCTCGTTGGGGTGGGCTGCATGGGGACTGGGGGTCCAGCAGCATGGCACAGCTCTGGGTTATGCGAGAGGAGGAGAAGGAGGCAGAGGCACTGCCAGGCTGCACATGTCATGGTGAGGGCGATGCATGCTTCTCCCTGCTGGGGTAAGACCCAGCCCCATGGGCCAGGCGCTCTCCTGGCAGATCACCAGCTGATGGGGAGGTTTCATCTTGATTGGCAGAGATGGGAAGGTCAGGCTGCTGTTGGAGAAGATCATCTGGGTCCAGGGAACTCCAGCCTCAGTGCAGATGGTTCAACATCTGCAGCAGCATATGTATCTAAAGGGGGCTTGGGATGCTGGTCCAGGAGAGCTTGGGGCTAGCCATGGGTACTGCAAGACCTCATCAAGACTGAAACTCCAACCCCCTCTGTGCCATCAGGGGCTGCCCTCAGAGTGGTGCTGAGCCCAGGGTCCGTCTTCACATGTCTGCCTGGCAATTGGTATAGGAGGGACACTGAGGGCACAGCCATACCAGCAAGGTGCATTCAGCCTCATAGCACAGTGCCTTCTTTGCCCAATGGCCTGGAAGCCACCCTGCCACGGCCCCTCATCCCAGCAATTTCTTTCCTTTTCCATGCTCTAGAGCACAAAAATGGGACAGAGCTTCGGGGGGAAGATCCATCTGGCCCTCACCCTCCTACTCCTGAATCTGGGGTCTGCTGTGACCAGAGGAGACCCTTACGGCTGCTATGGGGTGCCAGGCCTGCCAGGCATGCCGGGTGTGCCAGGCAAAGATGGCCGTGATGGGTTCAAGGGAGCCAAAGGCGAGCCAGGTGAGTAAGCAAGAAGGGAAAACATCCAGGCTGTTGAAGGGGGGCCATTGAGTCCTTCATGGCTGGTCTGTCTTGGCTTTCAGGCCAACATCCTGTGTGGACAGGACAGGAGGACAGCAGGCTGGAGAGAGGCAGCAACCCTCTCTTGCTCAAGGGAAGGGGCTGGAGGAGCCTCTCCCCCCTTCCTGTCATTGATGCCTATACCCTTTTACTCCCCATTACCCCACAGGCATCCCAGCTACTCCTGCAACACGAGGGCCCAAGGGCATGAAAGGGGAACCTGGCAGTCCTGGCTTGCCAGGCAAGACTGGCCCCATAGGTGTCTCCGGTCCCCCTGGATACTCTGGGGTGATGGGCATGGCCGGAGAGCCAGGTATTCCAGGCAGCTACAAGCAGAAGCACCAGTCAGCATTTTCAGTGACAAGGCAGACCAGTGAACACCCCTTGAAGAATGTCCCTGTGGTGTTCAACCATGTCATCACCAACACGAATCATGACTACAACACCTCCACGGGCAAGTTCACCTGCAAGCTCCCCGGCCTCTACTACTTTGTCTTCCACACCTCGCAGACAGCCAACCTCTGCACCATCCTGTACAAGGACAGCATCAAGATGGCCAGCTTCTGTGACCACAAGACCAACACCATGCAGGTCAGCTCTGGTGGGATCCTCCTCCACCTGACTGCTGGGAACCGGGTCTGGCTGGAGGTGAATGACTACAATGGCATGGTGGGAATTGGCAGCTCTGACAGCGTCTTCTCAGGGTTCCTGCTCTTCCCAGACTAGAGGACCACCAAAGCCCACCCCAGCATGCTGACTTCTTCGCCGTGCCCTGCAAATGCTGCTGCTCACTGCCAGGCTGTTGCTGATGTGCTAGGTTTCTCTGCTGGGTGGGAAGCCTCAGCAAGGGGGTCATCCCCAGCTGCTAGACACAACCCCCTGGTCTGGGGATTCAGCATAGGCAGCCACTGAACAGGGGGAACATTCATCTGCATGGTGCCAAGCCCCAGAGGTGCTGCTGGCACTGCCAAGTGCATCCATCATGATAACCCCACATTACTTTCTGCTGCCAGAGCCACAGGCTTCTTTGTGTCTCTCCCCTTCCCACCTCGGTTTCACCAAGGACAGACAGGTGTCCTGGAGCAGGCTTGCAGCAACACCTTTGCCGTGACTGGGCTGTGCAAAATATCATTAAAACCTTTCCCAGTGCACTTGGTCTAACGTGTTTTTCCCTCCATGATTTGCCTTTCTGCAGATGGGGCTCCTATATGGCCAGATGGATGTGGTACACATGTGTGTCTGCATGGCATCAGAATGTCCCTGAGCCCTTGCTGGCTCAGCCATGCTCAGCATCAGCGAGCATCAAACACCATTCATGGCTTTGCTCAGTGAGCTAGGGCCCCAGCTGCACTGACTGCAGGCAGGAGACAATTCCTGTGCCCATGCATACAGCCCTCACCTAGGGGGGGACCAATACTCCTCCAAGCAGGGGTCCTGATACTCCTCTTCCTATCCAAGAGGATGTAATTCAGATGCAGAGGGCACAGATACATCAAGCCTCATAGCTAGGCTACCAGAGGCTGGGACATCCCCAGGGTATCAGCCTCACCATGGACAGGGCAGGGAAAGCACTGGCTTCCCAAAGCCAGATTGACAGAGCTCATGGCTCTGGAGGCTGCAGATCCCACCAAAACCCAATGGACATTCCTCCTGGTGGCACACATTGTACAGTGGAAAAAGGTCATCTCCCCTGAACATCCTGTGCTTCACCTCTGCAAGGCAGCATCAGAAAGCAGGACTGGAAATGCTTTTGCTGCATAGTAGAATCACTTCCCCTCCACAACACTGAGGAGAACCTGGGGGACAGATTCAAGGCGATAGATGCTGAGACCCTGTAGCATCCTCTCAGCCTGCTGGTACCTCCCAGCAGAGCTGGGTATGTACAGAGAAGTCTGAGAGATGCTAGCTAAGTGCATGCACATTCCTGCAGTCCTGAATCCCAGGATTGTTTGGAGTTCACCATGGTGTTCCCCATAGCAAGCACACCTGAGCAGGATCCAGGGACCTTGCAGAACAGAGCAGACATCCCTCTGCTCTCTGGGGTCAGAGCTGTATGCCTGAAGGGCCACAGAGTGCCATTTGGGGACGGCAAGTCCTGCTGAGCTGACAGACCAGCACTTGTGGCGGATATGAAAGTGCTACTGAAGAAAGGGCAGGAGCTAAAGATAAAAAAAGGGATGTGGCCCAGATCCTTTCACAACAGCCCTTGCAGCAAACTTCTGTTTCCCCCCATGGTAATTTCCAAGCAGGACGCTGGTGTGTCCTGCTCCATCTCCCAGTCTGTGCAACGAGATATTCAAGGTAAGAGCAAGCCACCAGCAAGGCTGAGCCCCAGCTCTCCCCTGCAGACAGGAGCTTGCGCGGGACCCGGCAGCACCAGGGTGACAGTCACCCCCTGCACCACTGGCATTTTGCTGTGGCAGAAGGGAAAGGGTGCTGCTGGGCTGGGGTGGTGGAGACCCCTGGTGGGACCCCAACTCCTCCTGCCCCACCTGGGTGAGGGGGGAGATTGAAAGGAGAGATGGCAAAGGCCCATCAGGCTGAAAGGTGCCCTGGGGGTGCTCTCCTGCCCTGAGACACTCTTGTTGTTTGCCTGCGACAGGGCTGGGAGCCTGCAGAATGGTCCTCGGACCTGCTGCAATCAGAGCTGCTGCATCTGGAGGATCTGACTCACCGGCCTCTTTTCCCACTGACATCAGAGTGTCAGTGCTGGGAAAGTTCACCTGAGGCCAGGCAGGTGAACTGTGTCTGGGTTGATGTGATATCCAGATCAGCCCCCAGAATGTTGTGTGCTTACCACACACGCACCTGCAGCGGGACCTGGGGGAAGGAGCTGAGTTGTGGCATGCAATGGGGGCAGAACAAAGATGGGATCCCAGGGACTGGAAGCCCAAATGACTGTCCCAGTAAGGCTGGTGAGATACAGAAATCCTCCTGGGATGAAACAGGGGTGTGGCAGGACACAACGGGAACGCACAGGGGTTAGGAGGGCAGGTTCGGGGATTTCTTTGCTATCCACAAGGGCTAAAGCTGTCCCTCAGATAGGCTGGTGGACAACAAGAGCTATCCCCTTACAGATGATGAAACTGCTCTGGGGAAGGATTTTACCCTACAGTTGTGGTCCTATGATGGGATGGAGAATTTCTGCTCTGAAGGAGCAGTAGGTACTCAGAACATCAGGGACCTGCAGCACATGCCCATGGCAGCAGCACAGCCAGGCTGGACATCAGACCTCTGGGCCAGGCTAACCTGTCCCCAGATGTTCATGTGGCTGAAACTTTGGGCACTTCTCATCTAGTAATTTGACACTGGGAAGAGACTGGCAAGTCCTCCCATGCCCAAAGGAGCTTGTCCTTCCAAGGCCATCAGGTGAGCAGGTTTGGCCCTGCTTTCCCTCCCTGATGGCACTGCCCAGAAGTGCTTCTACTTCCAGAGCAGCACAGAGTGCCTCCCCATCCCTCCCACTGCCCAAGGCAAGCCTCTTGACATCCTTCTGTGCTCCAGCAGATGAAGATTGTGTGGGTGATGCTGATCTGTCTGGCTGGAGGGCAGGTTGCAAGTGCCACACTCTGCAACACCCATGGCAACATTCCAGGCATCCCTGGATCACCAGGACAGCCCGGCAGCAACGGCAGAGATGGGGAAAATGGCCTAAAAGGTGATCAAGGTAAGAAGAAGACTGCAGGTGGGAAAACATTGTCTTGTGAATACCAAGAACAGGAAAATCATAGAATTATAGAATAGTTTGGGTGGGAAGGGACCTCTAAAGATCATCTAGTCCAACCCCCCTGCAATGAGCAGGGACATCTTCAACAAGACCAGGTTGTTCACAGCCCTGTCCAACCTGACCTTGAACGTTTCCAGGTGTGGGCATCTACAACCTCTCTGGGCAACCTGTTCCAGTGCCTCACCACCCTCGTAAAAAATTCCTTCCTTACGTCTAGTTTAAATCTACCGTCTTTCAGTTTAAAACCATTACCCCTTGTCCTATCACAACAGGCACTGCTAAAAAGTCTCTTATAAGCCCCCTTTAAGTCTTGAAGGCTGTAATAATGTCTCTCCAGAGCCTCTTCTAGGTTGAACAACCCCAAGTCTCTCAGACTTTCCTCATGGGAGAGGTCTTCCATCCCTCTAATCAATTTTGTGGCCTTCATCTGGACTCGCTCCAACCGGTCTATATCCTTCTTATGCTGAGGGCTCCAGCGCTGCATGCAGTGCTGCAGGTGGGGGCTCAAGAGAGCAGAGTAGAGAGGGAGAATCCTCTCCCTCGCCCTGCTGGCCACACTTCTCTGGATACAACCCAGGATCCGGTTGGCTTTCTGGGCTGCCAGCACATACTGCCGGCTCATGTCCAGCTTTTCATCCACCAGTACCCCAAGTCCTTCTCATCTGGGATGCTCTCAATCCCTTCATCCCCCCAAGCCTGTATTGATACCAGCGTTGCCCGGCTCAGGTGCAGGACCAGGCAGTGCTAATACATGATCCTAATCCATTTTCTATCAGTCCCTCTGGGGTGACGCTCACCCTGATAAGGTGGGGGCAATGTTGGCGACAGAAGGGGCTGGACAGACCAGAGTACCCCGAAGAACCTGGGAAGGAAAGGTGCACAAAAACAAGGTGTGCCATGTCTGCTAGATGAACAGGGTTCTCTGCTGACCTGGACCGCAGCACAGATAGAAGCAGTTTCCTTCCCAGAGCCCTCTCTGCAGACCCATGGGGCTTGGCTGTTTCTGCAACAATTCTTCCTCCTACTTTCTAGGTCGCCCTGGCCAGGTGGAGCATGAAGAAGACATCGGGGAGAAGGGAGACCCAGGAGCACCCGGGTACCCTGGGAAGATTGGCCCCAGGGGGATTCCGGGTTCAAGGGGAATACCAGGTCTCATGGGACCCCCTGGCCCTCAGGGGGACCCTGGTGACTACAAAACCACCCTTAAGTCTGCCTTCTCCGCTGCCAGGACCATCAGCTCCTACCCACGCCGGGACCAGCCCATACGCTTTGACCGCATCATCACCAATGAGAAGGGCCACTATGAGAACCGGTATGGCCGGTTCATCTGCCAGGTCCCAGGCATCTACTACTTCACCTACCATGTCACCTCCAGGGGCAACCTGTGCCTCAGTGTAAAGAAGGGCCAGGGTGGCAGCAGGGGTGAGAAGGTGGTGACCTTCTGCGACTACGTGCACAATAGCTACCAGGTCACCACGGGTGGTGTGGTCCTCAAGATGGCAGCAAGCGAGTCTGTCTGGCTGGAGCCGACGGACAAGAACTCCGTGGTGGGAATTGAAGGGTCTGACAGCATCTTCTCTGGCTTCCTAATCTTCCCTGAGGCTTAGCCCACCAAAGGTGTCTTTCTGCAGCCCTTCCCCTGCTGCTGGCTGGCCCCTGCAGAGCTGAGAACTCCACTGGAAGTGACTATTTGCTTCAGATTTGGTGCCTTAAACCCATTGCTGCTGGTCTTGCACATTAAATGACAGCTCCTTGTGCTATTGGTTCCTTCGTGCCTAGGTTTTTCCTCTTTCATCACAAATAATGCTCAGATAACCAGGGCATTGCCTCCTGCACCCCTGAGTGAAGCCTGGGCTCATTACTGCTCAGCAGTTCCATTTCCATGTGGAATATCTTCATCCAGAGCCACCGAGACAAAGTCCCAGCCCAGGGTTAGGAAGACACAGAGAGGAAGCCTGGTCTCTAGGGGGTGCAGGAGCAGCACGCAGCATAGTGGGAAAATTGGTGCCACTGAGTACTGGTGGAGTACCCGGGAGATGCTGGAGATGGTGCTGTACCGGAGACCGCTGAGGCCGGTTGGATCTGGAGACACCGACCTCAGACTTTTCTGGGGTGGTGGTGACTCTAATAGCCACAGAAGCTTGTCAAAGCTTGTGAGAAGGTAACCCAGGGTTACATGAGAAGTCAGAGCTTGGTGCCACAGTGGCAGAGATGTGTGGCACATGGCTATACCTTAGCGCAGCCGGGCCGGACACAGAGCAGTCCCATAGCCCCAGCAAAGGACTGACATGTGCAAGTCTACAGCATAGCCAAGACCCCGGGAGATCCAAGGACCCATGATGAATAAGAGCTGAAGAACCCAAGGATGTATCTGCCTCTGGGGCTGGTGACAACCCATCATTGTACCTGGGTGGGGGGTTGCCCACAACCCCCAGCCCAACCGTCGCAGGTGGCACCAAGAGCTGTGAGGTGTGGAGCCGTGAGGGTGTATGCGGGGTGCTTAAGATGTAGGAGAGTTTTTGTGAGGAATCTGGGATTTGAACGGGACTGGTTGGAGGGGATGGTGATAAAGGGTCTTGGGTGGGGTGGTGGGGTATGGGCTGGCTTTTATGAAGCATGGTTAAGGTTCCAGCATCTGTCCGGGATGATTTGCCGGCAGGTGGCACTGGAGACTGGATCAACCCACACCTCTTCAGGGGGGCGCATCCTTGTCCCACAGGCTGGGAGGACAAAGCTTGCAGGGACCGGGCAGAAGTGTGAGCTTCAGCTCTGTGTGGTCTGTAAGGTCAGGGAGGAGGCACTGGGCAGGATTAGTGCCGCCTCTTGCAGCCCTGGGTCAATGATTCATCTTTGCCCTTGCTGCTTGGTCCTTCCCCCAGCAAAATCTGTGGCTTCTGTCCACAGGGCTGCAGCCATCCTATGTCCACAGACCTCCACCTCCCACCAGAAAGTCAGGGCAGAGGTGTTCAGTCTTGCACCCCAAAGCTCTCCCTGTGCAGGAGCGCTGGGCTGCTTGTAAAATCCAGCTGTGACGCTCATGCCATTTTGCAGCTGGAGACACAGCGTACCAAGTAAAATCAGGTCAGCAGGGCAAGTGGAGAAAAAGGTAGGTATTTGACCCCCAAAACAGAGGCTGGGCAGTGCACACCAGCTAGGTCTCCTGAACCCTCATCAGGTCTGCAGGAGACACCAAAGCGAGGAGCAGCTGATACACTGGAGGACAGGGTTGCCCTTCAAAGAGCCATGACAGGCTGGAGAAATGAGCTGGCGGGAACCAACTGACATTGAACAAAGACAAATGTAGAGTCATTCCTCTGTCATTGGACAACCCCATGCAACAGGACAGTCAGAGAGCATCAGGAAGCTTTGCAGGAAGGGATCTGGGATGCTGGTGGGCAGCATGTTGAAGCTTCCCGAGTTTCTAATCGATATATTTTGGACTTTTGTGAAGGTCTTTGTCAGGACCCTCTCTAGACTGGAGATAGTTTTACCTTTGAAACTAATGTCTGACCTCACACCAGCACAAGTCAAAGAGATTCTAGGGTCTTGGCTGCACCCAGAGAGTCACATTACCAACTCTCTCTAAAGTGCAGCTCACTGCTTATGTGGCTGAAAAACAGAGGTGCACAGGGCAATGCTCCCTCCCGTGGGTCTCAGGCAGCATCCACCAATACCACCTCAGGCATTAGGCCCATGGGATGGAGCTGTCTGATCCCCTGAAGCTGCCACTGTGTGGGCCATGGAGAAGCACACCCCTCAGGTATCCAAAATGGATGAGAAAAGGGGGCCAGAGAGCTGTGAGTGGCTAGGAAGGGTGGTGGTCTATGCAACATCACCGTTCAGTTCTTTCGGGGCCACTCAGTGTGGGTGGAGGTTTTCTGATCCTGCAGGAAGCCCTAAAGCCTCAGGCCTCCGCCCCACAGCAGCTGGAGAGAACCCCCTCCTCTCAAGCTATTATAGCACTCACTGAGGCCAGAGCCAAAACGCAGATGCCCTGTCCATGGGACCATCCACAGCAGGAGTCCAGATTGCTGCGCTGTGGGAGGAACCCTCTGTGAGACCCTCAGTGGCACTCAAGGACACGGAAAGGCAAATTAAACCCAAGCTGGGTAGCTAGGTGCTGTGCTGCCAGTCACACGTTGCCTGCTCGGAAGGCCATTAGCCCTGCTCCAGCCCTGCTCTCAAACCTCCCCGCCTCGCACAGTGGTACGTCATTAACTATTCCGTGCAAAACAACACAATCTTGGGATAACGCAACAGTAAACAGGAGAGTTAGGGAGAAACCTGTTGCAGAGTCAGCTGCAGCCTGGCAGTGAGGATGTCGGGCAGGGGAAGCTCCATGTTCCCTGTCTCTCAGGGAAAGGACCAATTTGTACCTTTAATTCCTACCCATGAGGTCCTGTCACCCCTCAAACTTTAACCTGGCCACGTCTGCACCCAGTAAACAGACATGCAGGTTTTGTTCTCACCACGACCTGACAGACCTGTCCCAGTGCCCTGTGCACGCTCACTCTGCCGTGTGTGCTCTCCCTGTGCTCACTCACACCAGTCTGTGCACACTTGCACTGAGCACATGTACACGCTCCCCCTGCTCTGTGCACGCTTGCACTGTGTGTCCGTGCACGCTCATTTGCTCCGTGCACACTCGCACTGTACACACGTGCACATTCACCCTGCCCTGTGCGCACACTCGCTGCTCTGCACGCTTGCGCGGTGTGTATGTGCGCATCCACACTGCTCTGTGCGTGCCTGTACTGTGCACACTCACTCTGCTCTTTGCGTGTGCTCTGCAGATTCACCCTGACACTCACGTTCTGCTCCTCTTCTGTGCATTTGGATTCCTCTTTTCATTTGAACGACACCACAGGTGAAACGGGCAGCAGTACCTCCTCACCATCCAGCCGGTTAAGCCCTAGAGCTTCACCAGGGGGTCCTGTGACCCTGGTCTGTGGAGTCCGGCCTCCACCAAGGTCTGGGCTGTGCCCAGGCCGAGGCCCCCAGGTGCTTAGCAGATGCTCTGCTAGAAGCTAAGGCAGGTGGTGGGTGTTTCGAGGTGACTTCCAAGCAGGACTTTTAGGATTTGAAGTGTTTTACAGAGCTGCAGCCAAGTGGCCTCCTCAGTGCTGGAGGTCTGAGCAGGACAGAGCACTAGTCAGGAGCACACCCACGTCACCCAGGGTCGTGGTTTAGCCCCGCCTGTTGATTAAGCTCCCAACGCCGCTGGTACAGGGGTGACACTGACCGCTCAGCTTGATGTATTATGGAGTGAAATAACATCTTGTGGGCAGGCCCCAACACACCCATTCACCTTGTCCCATCATGTCCCATGAAGGTGACCAGTGACACCAAAAAGCAGCAAGTGGGAAGGTCACTTTCTGAGAAGTCCCTGCAACCAGGCACTGGTTTGGTCCAAAGCTCAATTGGAGCAAATCCACTGATGTGCAAAGACACCGGTAGAGCACCGTTTTAAAATAAAAGCTTCCTATTTCAAGGCACATAGTAACGGGGATCCTCAGGAATGGTGAGTTCCCCTGAATCAACCTGCTGGGGTTTTGGGGGTTTCTCTCCAGTCCAGGTGTGAGCAGGTCTCTGGCAGGATACACATTGGAGCATACAAAGTGCTTATCAGTATTCATGGAAAGTGTAGCTGAACTGGAGAGAACAAAGATGCTCCGAGGG